TACAAAATACCACATAACAAAAGTTTATACATGTTACACACATATTTATTTTATTTTTTATATTTGTACCATTGTTGTTGTGGGGGGATTTTGATATATTATTATATGATTTTTGTATTTATTTTTTACATTTTCCAGTTTGCAGTCCGTTTTGTTATGTGAATGTTTTTAAAACAAAAAAAGTGTATACATTATATATATCCTCGTGTCTTCCGTATATTTTGTTGTGCGTTCATGTATGTATTTTTTGATCCCTGTATTTGAGTTGAGGTTAATATGTGTTTTAGGTTTCCAGATTGGCGTTTGGTCTTAATTATTTTGGTTGTTTTTAATATATTATTCAGTTTATTATTCTTGCTAAGTAAGTCTAGATTTTTTTAATTTCTGTGAATATTTCTGGATTGTTTTTGTTGTATGTTGAGACATATGCTAGAGTTTGTTCCATGTTACGTTTCTTTTTATTTCTAAGTTGGTCTAGAGGAATTTCTTTTCATGAGTTCAATACCTTTGTTTATTAGTGTTGTGGGGTAGCCTCGTTTTTTGAGTTTTATGTAGTTCTTCTAAGCGGATTTTTCGGAGATGTTTATCAGTCACTATTGTACAAATTCTACGTGCTAGGGAATAGGGGGATGGATTTTAGGCAGCTTTTTTGGGTGATGGCTCTTGAAATGAAGGTATTGTTGGATGTCTGTGGGTTTGTGGTAGATATCTGTGATTATGTGGTTTTTTTTATTTCTAATGAGTATATCTAAAATGGTAATTCGTTAAAGTTATATTCTTGTGTGAATTTGATTTTTTGGGTGTAAGTTTTGAAGTAGTGTATGGAATTGGTTAATAAAATTCCATGAGGATTTCCAAAAGATGAAGCAATCATCTAAGTATCTTTTTCAAGATTTAGTGAATTGGGTTTTATATTTGCCCCATATATTTGTTCTATCTTTTCATAGAGGTTTTCTTCTAGGTAAGCTAATGTTAGTGGCATATGTTGGTACCATTTTTTGTTCCCATCGCAGTACCTAGGGTTTGGATATAGTTTTTGTTGTCAAATTCAAAGGTGTTATTATTTAGAATTAGGTCTATACTATCGATAATGAACTCTTTAGTGAATCTCGGATGTCGTATTTCTGGATGTTTTTCAATCCAGAATGAGATTTTTTCCCCTAGTTCATGGGGTATGTTACTGTATAGGCTACTGATGTTAAAAAGTTGCCATAAGCGTTCCCGGATCTACCTTTTTGTGGTATGTAGCTAAAGGAAATGGATATCGTCTCTGTTGTGGCTTTTAATTTGTTTAGTATATGGTTGCAATATTATGTCTATTAGGTTACTGAGTTTGCTAGTGGGACAGACTGGTCCTGCTACTATTGGTCTGAATGTAAGGTCACTGGGGTTTGGGATGCTAATGTATAAAGATTTTTGTGTATGTATAGCTGCTTTTATTTCACTTGATTTATGAACTTTTGGTAGTCCGTAGAAATTACTTTTTTTTGGTACAAAGTTTATTATGAAATCCTTTCTTTTTTTTTGTTAATATTTTATTATGTGTTTATAGAGTTTTATAATTTTTTGTTATAATGTTTTTGTCTATGTTAGTGTCAATTATTTGTAGCTGTTCCTATCCTCTAGAGTTTCTAGAACTTTTGTTTTATAGTATGTTCTGTCCAGGATTACTATAGCGCTGCCTTTATCTTTTTTCTTTTTATAATTGTTATCATTTTTTCGAATATAAAAAAAGACTAGTCTTTGTCTATATGTCATGTTGTCGAATGGTTTGGATTTTTTCCTGTAGGTCCAGGTTTTAGAGTTTTAAAAAAAAATATATTTAGCTCATTGGTATTGTTTTTTTTGTTTAAAATTAATTGGATTTGTTTTTTACCAGTGACTCATCTGTACTATTTTCGCTATTAAAAAATATTTTTCTTAGTCTCAATTTTGCGTTCAAATTCCTTAATGTATTTTTTAAGTCTACTATATTGCTTTTAGGAGCAGGGCAGAATTTTAAAAATTTCAGTAGGGTGATTTTTGTCATTTTTATTAATTTGTATATGATAGATAGGTTTATTATTTTGGGTTTTGTGTCATCTAAACTGGTTTTTGTTGTTCGGACTGGGGCCTTAATAAAAATAATGATTTTTTCTTTTAATATATCTCGGGTTAAAAAAGAGATACCTTCTTCCTGTACATTTAAAGTTTTCTAGCCAGTGAAGTTTTTTGGTAAAATTGGGGTTAAAATTTCTTGATGGCTCTATATAGGTGAATTATTTTAATATATATATATATATATATATATATATATATATATATATATATATGTGTGTGTGTGTGTGTGTATATATATATATATTTGGGAAAGTTATAACTTGAGTAATAATTAAAAACCACCTAACATTTATATAGACGAAAAAATTGATAAAATGAGAAACAAGCAAGAGGTGGAAACAACAAAATGAATCTTATTTTTTATTGGGTTATTGTGTGGTTCAATTTAAAAAATTATTAGTATTTATTTAAACTAAATTATCTGGGCACTCATTATACACATCTATAAAAAGAAAAACATACGAGAAAGATTGTATACATTACTTATTCTTTATCTTATCATTCTGTTGGATTCTGATACATATTTGAACCCAGACTCACAATTTTAGTCATTATTACTGTCTTTCGTCTCTCCAACACCGCTCAGCAACTAGATAATAAATAATACGCGTTTTGTTGTTTACACATCAAAGTATTTTGCTTATTGGAAATATTAAATTTAGTCTATTAGCTTCGAGTTAAAACTAAAATTAAAGATTCAAGAAAAAGATTAAATTTTTACAATGCATTTCAACATTTTTATGTTTTGCTTCTTCCTTCCTTGGGCGTAACTAAAATTTTATTTCATTATTAATTAAGTTTTTAAATAAAAAAAAAAATTAATTATAATCTCAAAAATAGTTATAATAAAATAATTGTTGTGGCCAGAAATAAAGACACAAAGAGAGGAATTGAGTTAAAAGATATATTAACAGAAAAACAGTAATACAATCATATAAAAACGAGCATGAATGTTAAATCCGACTGTCAGAGCTGACTGCTGGAAACTGATATTTATTTACAGAAAATGTGGCACAAGGCCAAAAGTGGGTAATTGGGGAAAAGGACGGTCTTTTTCTGTCTTAACTTTAAAATTAGCTAGCCACAAACACTGACCCAATCATACAAATAATATTCCTTACACCAAAACAACACATTCTTACGCACCATAATACCACACTGTCTCTATGAAAATAATAACTAATCATCGCATGTACAATTCATTTGTCTGTGGGGGGAGGAGAATAAAACAACAATTTAAAAAGCCCCAAAGAGTATTTACAATATGAATACAATATATTTACATGAAACTAAAGGAAATAATATTAGTAATAAAAAGGGTTCAGTTCGAAATTACCTGAAGAAGGCCGGAGCGTACAACGGCCGAAACGTTGTGACAAATATGGTGACAAAGATGAGGACAATAGTCCGACTAATGTAAATACTGTACAGAATACCTCATCTCAGAAATATAGAAATTTCGTTTCATTCAGATTCCTCGACTAGTTTCGGCCAAAATAGCATCAGCAGGAGAAAAAAATTCTGGTAGCAGTGAACTACAGAAATGAATGTCTTGATGGAGAAAATGAACCTTTGTCTGTAGTTCATTTGTTTTTTTTATTTTTATTTTTTTTTAACAAGTCCTTGTATTGGCCAAACAGACTCTTTTAAGTTGTTATTTAAGATAAGAGCTGGATGGATTCATGCTGCTCTGAATTCCCTTGGCCATTTTGACAGTTTTAATGGTTCCTGTAATGGGGATGTGTCTCTGTTAAGTGTGTGTGTGTGTGTGTGTGTGTGTGTGTGTGTGTGTGTGTGTGTGTGTGTGTGTGTGTGTGTGTGTTTGGTTCATAGAGAGTGATTGAGTATGATGTGTGTAAGCGTGTATATTACTATGGGTGTGTGTTATCATTTGGCTCCTCAGGGAGTGATTGAGTATGATGTGTGTAAGCGTGTATATTCGTGTGGGCGATTGTATAAGTGTGAGGCCTCAACACCTCCGTAAGCATGTTTGTCTTGTGTGGGTGAGAAATGTGGGTAGGTCCTGATTTATGGGGTTATATATTAATACTATCTATCTATGTATATATATAGATAGATAGATAAATACATACATACATACATTTACCCATTATTTTAGTTTTCTAAAGAGTATTTTGTTTATATATATATTATAATAAAGAGAAAGAGCAGTAAGATATACAATCCGGTGTTCTTATTAAATTAAAAACAAAAAAAAACAGTACTTAATAAAGTAACTCGTTTTTGATACGATAGGTGTCAGTGAATAGCCTACCACCCCTGTCAAAATGATTGAATTTCCCCGTATCCTTAGAAACTAATATTATGAATGTATGTGCTTATAAAACTCAGTAAAATTCAAAATACTTTATTCCAAAATTCGCTTGAATATGAAACAGTACAAGTGACTTTAATTCTATAATTGAAGTTTTTAGTTTCCGTGTTTGAAACGTGGTAATTCCTATGTAGCGATGGAACCATATTTTTAAATTAGTAAATTTATAGTATATATATATATATATATATATATATATATATATATATATATATATATATATATACACTGTTACATACTTTTCTTTTTTCTGTTTTTAATTACATTTATTTAGTAAATACTACAAAAATAAATAAAACAAAGATCGTGAATATATATTCACATGAAATGTCTCAATTAATTTTTTTTTAGTTTAAATTCTGTAAAACAGACAGAAATAAGAATTTTATGCAAACATTAAAACCATTTGAAAGTTTGCGTCAAAAATTAAAATATACTTCAATATGAAATGTCTCATAAACTGACGTACATATCAATAAAAAACAAGACCTTTTTATGATAAATTTAAATTTCCTGGTTTTTGTACGATATATTATGAAACAAGAAAACGTTCAAATATCCTGCAATGCCCGGGAGACTTGAAGTTATATGCGACCCGTCGTTACAGGCCAATGATTCCCAGGCGTCTTTGCTATGAAGAAACAAATAAATAAAAAATAGTGATAAATAAAGAACGCTTTTATCATGGTCGATATAAATGTCTTTGTTCTGTGCTTTATTGAAACAAGAAAACGTTTTGAATTTAATAATAATAATTCGGCTTCTATAGACACGAATCCTCGTAATATTGAAAGAAATTTATGTCCATGTCTCATCGTACCTTTCTGCTTGATCATCTTAATAGCACAGAGCTTATTCAGTAACCCTCTGCATTGAGTGGCTGTTAAGCCTTGTATTGAATGCACTTGAGGAAAAAATCAAAAGAGATGATATAATACAAATATTGCTCTACTCTATGTGTGTCTGTGTGTGTGTCTGTGTGTGTCTGTGTGTGTCTATCTGCGTGTGTCTGTGAGTGCATGACTTTGTATATACCTGTGAGTCAATCTTTAAAGCATTGATCTATCCTTGAGCTACAAAGGACAGGAAATTGTGGAGAGCCATGATCACCAATCCTATGAAGGGACACGGCTCATTGAAGAAGAAGAAATAAAACTTCAAAATGACACTTGTAATTCGTTTTTCAATGCATTAACGAAATTTGAACATAGAGGAGGGTTTTATTTAAATTTTATTTTATTTTATAACATTGATCGATTTACAAACAAGTCTCGATTCGAAGATTAGAATAAAATAATAACAAATTCACATTTCTCGGAATTTTATCAACAACTCGAGTTTCAGTTTGTATCAAAATCATGAAATTCAGTAGACGTTTTAGATTTTTGACGATACAATCAAAATTATGTTGACTTTAGACTTAAACATCAAAGTTCAAAAGATTTTTCATTAAGATTTTGGAGGTTTCCTTCTAATTACATAAGTAAAATAAAGAGTTTATTTTTCGTTTTTATTATCGAATATTGAAAAGTTACCTTTATTTTAAACCCGAAGATAATTTAAATTTTACCATTTTTACCATGAATTACTCGTTAATTTTTACTAAAAGTCAACTTAAATATATGTGCTAATTTCATTTAAATTCGTTTCTGAATTTTTTTATTAATTAGTATTATAAAATACTTAAAAATAATAATTAAAAAGTGTCAAAATGTGATTTACATTTTATTTTACAATAAACATTTTTAGTTGGGCAAAACAAATTTTATATTGTGCACAAGAAATTAGTTAAATTAATTAATACTTTTAATTAGTTAATATCACAAACTAATAAAAAGCATTATTTTATAACAGTTTTTACTTTATAATGCATTAATAATTTTTATTTTAGATTACTTTTTTATTCTATTTACTAATAAAAATCTTTTTTTATCATTTTGAGTACTTTTCTTTATTTTATACAAATAACTAATAAAACCTTTTTATTTTATTCTACATTTTATTTTTATATTAATGACTAATTAAAAAAATATACGTTTTTGCCATTTACTTTTTACTTTCAATCTTACATTTCCAAATTCGTTTTATTTCAGTTATCTCAATTTCAAAAGTAAATTTTATATTAAAGAAATCTTGACGAATTTACCTTCGAATATTCTTAATATTTAATTGATTTTTTTTCGATGTACATTTTACGAGAAATAAAATAAATTTGATTTGAAAAATAAAGAATCTCTAATTTTATTCGACATTTTGATTTTATTTACATAAAAGGATAATACGATAATCGTGTCAAATACGATTTTTTTCAGATGTATTCTCATTTTATTTTCCCTTTGATATTAAACATAAGTCACTTTCTTATTTCATGTCCAGTGGCGTGTTTATTCTCGTCAAATGAAATGCCTTATATTTCTATGACGTCATCCTACATCCTGGTTGTTAGTATTTAAACGTGTGAGGGGCGTAGCCATAGTCAATTTATTTCAGACAATTCAACAAAGAAGACGACGTTTGACAAAAACCAGTTCCACTCAAGTGAAATTTAAATCAACTGTAAGTATCAATTTTCTCGATTTCCAAATCATCCAAATTTCTTAAATGTTTCCATGAATAGAAAGAGACATTTCCTTCCTCTTTAATTTTGAAACCATTTCACCCAAAGTAAGGCAAGAAAGACACTCCGACGCTAGTGTATTCTGAGTATGAAAAAAATCATATTTTGCTCGCAACTTATTATTTAGTGGTCTCGCTGCAATTTGCGTGGCGGATTCAAAATCACAATTATTTATCATCTCTTTAATAAGTAGATATTCTATCTATCTATCTATCTATCTATCTATCTATCTATCAATCTATCTATCTATCTATCTATCTATCTATCTATCTATCTACCTGGTGTCACTTGATAAGTCGCTTTGTTATTTCATGTCCAGTGGCGTGTTTATTCTCGTCCAATGCCTTATAAATTCTATATCCTGGTTGCCATTACTATTTAAATCGCGTGAGGGGCGTCGGCATTGTCAGTTTATTTCAGACAATTTGTCACAAGAAAGCCACTCCGACGCTAGTGTTTTCTAATCATATTTTGCTCTCTAAATTATTATTGACTGGTTTATCTGCAAAATCGTGGCGGATTCAAAATCACATTTATTTATCATCTCTTTAATAAATATATATTTTATCTATCTATCTATCTATCTATCTATCTATCTATCTATCTATCTATCTATAGTCTTTTTCATATCTATCTATCTATCTATCTATCTATCTATCCATATTTATCCTATCCATATTTATCTATATTTACATATATATATATATATATATATATATATATATATACAAAATCTCTGTTCATTCTATCTATCTATTTCTGACTGATCATTACATTATCTGTTTCTTTGTTTAAAAGAAAATCCTTCTCTCTTTCTCTCTCTTTCTCTCTCTCGTGAACGGAAATATTTTTGTCACAAAAAAAATGAATTTTTATCGGTCTATCTATATAGGTATTTGTCGATCTGTTTATTTAAAGGAAAAGGAAAAAACTCTTTTACACAACAATTAATTTACATTACTTTGCTTATCTATCTATTAGGTTGGTGCAAAAATAATGACGTAATAATGACATTATTACGTCATTATTTTTGCACTTTAATATCTATCAATCTATCTATCAGTCCATTTCATAGGTATCTATCTATCTATCTCGTCAGTCCTTTTCATAGGTATCTATCTATCTCAGTCCTTTTCAGATCTATCTATATCTCAGCCCTTTTCATATTTGTTTAATCTCTCTATATGTGTGTGTTTGTGTCTATATATATATATATATATATATATATATATATGACTATCCATACCCTCTCTGTTCAGTGTTCATTATGTATCTTCTATCTTTTTCTGACTTTTCATTATCTATCTATCTATCTATCTATCTATCTATCTATCTATATCATTATTTATCTATCTATCTTACTGACACTTGCCGATGATAATATGTGTGTGTGCGTAACAGTATGTGTGTTTATTAGTACATGTGTGTGTGTTGTCAGCGACTTTTTCCGCCTTTCTTTTTTTTTTCCTCCTTTCCTCCCCTTCTCTTTTTCTCTCCATACTTTTTCCTCCCTTGTTATCTCATGTAAAAAAAAAGTTTCTTTCCATTCTAATACAAATTAACTGAAAAAATTGAAAGACCCCCTCTCTCTTTCATATACCCTTCCTTTTTCTTCTCACATTTTCTCACGCTTTCTTCTCTTTCTCCCATTCCTCCCTCTCGGTCCCTCCCTTATTATCTAATGAAACGCCATCCAGTCCGGGTCGGGGTGCTATTCTCGTCCAATGAAATGCCTTATACTCCCATGACGTCATAGCGCTTATTCCTCATTCCCTCCCCTTCACTTACTCTCTTCGTTCCTTTCCATCCCTTGTTATATCATGTAATTCCCTCCTTCCTGTCCAGTGTGACTTTTCTCGTCCAATGAAATGCCTTGAATACCTATGACGTCACAGTGCGTTTGCTTCGCTTCCCTATCCGAGCTTTTCCCTCCCTTTCCAAATAATCGAACTTTTCCAATATGTTTTCATAAATCCAACGAGAAATGTTTAGTTTTATTTAATTTTCTCTTGTGTTTTATTTTTTTTACCCAAACTCATATTTAGAGAAAAACCTTTTTCTAACCATTTTCTTTTCTTTTGAAATTCATAGAATTCAAAAAAAAAAAGTCTGATCCGGATTCTGTGGTAAAAGAAATGCGTTTTTAGTTAAGAATTCTGATAAAGTATTTCCAATAAATGATTGAAAATATCGGTTATCATTTTTTTTTTTTTTTTTTTTGACGATAAATCCTTGTTTTTATTAAGTTTGGCAAGTTTTTTCATTGAATTATTGGAGGTACCTACATCTCTCTATCTATCTCAGTCCTTTTCATAGCTATCTATCTATCTCAGTCCTTTTCATAGCTATCTATCTATCTCAGTCTATCTATCTTTCATATCTATTTATCTATCTATTTATCGCAGTCCTTTTCATATATATCTATCTATCTCCATTCTTTTCATATATATATATATATATATATATATATATATATATATATATATATATATACATATATATATATATACATATATATATATATATATATATATATAGATACATATATATATATATGTGCATATACATATATAAATATATATATATATATATATATATATACCACTCTTCGGGTCTATGTATCTATCTATCTATCTCACTTAGTTCGTATCTGTCTATCAATCTCTTTAAAACTATCTATATTAGTCTGTCCGTATCTATCTATCTATCTATCTATGCAAGAATTTCCAAATTAATGAGTTTTTCAACTAAAAAAATGGGCTAAAAAACTAATGCTAAAAAATATCACGCGACCTCTAAACTAAGAAAAAAACAACAATAAACATTTTAAAAAGATAATTAAAAATAATTTGTTCTTTCCTCTTATTAATAATATAAACTTTTCACATAAAATTTAGTTTTATTGAGTTTATGGGGCATTTTTCATCATGCTATGCTGTTTTTTGGCAAATTATTGAAGTGACACACCCTTATTTACAATATGCATATTATTTTCTGTTCGTTTGTCTGTCGCAATCTGTTTCTAACTATCTATTTGTCTATCTATCCATCTCTCACTGTTCTTATCTATCGATCTATCTATTCTTTTCATATCTATCTAAAAAAAAATTTGAAAATCGAAAGGGTTAGGGTTAGGGTTTGAATTTGTAGGTCTGATGAATTAGATGGTGATTACGATTCCAATGTAATAAATTAATTATAACCATGGAATATTAGTGTTTTGGGTATTTTTTATATATATATATATATATATATATATATATATATATATATATATATATATATATATAGATAGATAGATAGATAATATTAGTGGAAAATATACATATATATTTTTTTCCCCACCTCCTATCCTAATTGTCTATGGTGTGTATATGTCACCACGAAATGCATCTTTATGCATTAGACATCCGTCGACTTTCTTTCTCTCCTCTTTTTAAATTTCTCCCCCTCCACATCTCCTAAAATTCTCTCTGTTAAGGTTTCATCTCCCTCCTCCTCATTCTTACACTTTCTCTAAATTATGTTTTGATTTCCGGAGTTGTTTTTTTTCTGTTTTCATTTTGAATTTGTAGGTCTGATGATTTGGATCGTATTTACGATTCCAATGGAATAAATTATGACCATGGAATATTAGTGTTTAAGCCTTTTTTTATATATATATATATATATATATATATATATATATATATATATATATATATATATATGAAAATAATATGTATGTGTCCGTTTCAGTACGTGTGTCTATCAGTACATATCTTTGCGTGTGAGAGTGATATCAGTGATTTTTCCCTGTTTCTTCTTCCTTTTATTTCTCCTTCTCCCCCCCCTTCACTTACTCTCCCCTTGTTATATTATGTAACGCCCTCCAATCCAGTGGTGTGACTATTTCTCGTCCAATGAAATGCCTTAAACTTGCATGACAGCTTTATTTATAACTACTCTCTCTTTCCCACTCTCTAATTATTTTATTCGTGAACTCTTCTCCTCCCCTTCATTTATTTGGGATTTTAGAAGAAAACAATTTCCTTTCCAGAAATCGATTTGTTTTTCTTGTAAAATCTCGAAATTTCGGGTCATTTTTTATAAATGGACTTTTCTTTTTTTTTTTTTTTTTGTCGTTTTCTGATTTTGAAATTTGACTTTTTTTTTCTTTTCTTTCTTTTCAGATTGATTTTTATCTTCGGTAGAAATTTTACAAATGGCGTCCAATGTGAGTGAAGAAGAGACCTTCCCATGCTCGAAATGTAACCATTCCTTGGACTTGTTTTCAAAGACATTACCATGTCTTCATTCCTTCTGTCGGTCGTGTGTGGAGATGATTCTTGAAGAAAATGGCCCGTGTTCCCAGTGCCAACAATCTGTGACTGGTGACGATTTGAGACTGGCACTATTTTTGGTGAAGTCTTTGAGGCGCCGTCAGCTGGAATCCAGCGAATGGAGGTGCGACGTGTGCTTTGAAGAGAACGGGACAGAATTGACCGTCCAGATTTGGTGCCAGGAATGCGAGAAACTCTTGTGCCAGTCCTGCGAGAGATTCCACTCCGAACACGAGACCAAAGACTTGTCGGGCGTGTCGAGGGTGGAGGCGATCCGGGTCATCACGACGGATGACTGTCGACGCCACCGTCAATCAAAGGACGCCTTCTGCAAGCGGTGCAACGTGTGCCTGTGCAAAATATGTTACCAGGATCACGTGACCGCCTCCCCTCAGTGTCCGCCTCGTCCGCTGTCGGTGAGAGAGGAAGCGTTGAAGGCGAAGAAACGCAACCCCACCCTGGAGCGGGAACTCCGTCAGTTCGAAATCCACATCCGGGCGTCGAACGAGCGAACGAAGCAGTCCATTGACAAACTCTCAACGGATTGCGAATCCGAATGCTTAAAACTCACTCGGGATTTTGAGGAATTCGTGAATGAGGCACGGCTCAAGTTAGCAGAGTTGTGCGATAATATGAAAGTGATGACGTACGAACTGGAGAGAAAATGGCGCCACTCCCTCAAGGACAGAGAAGACATTTTAAAGAAGGTGGAAATCTGGCACCACACATTGCGACATTTGTCTACGGACGACGTTGACGATGAAGACGTCGTTTGTGGACTGAGGTTGGTGGGAGCGGAGCTTTCTGCGCGGCTCCGCCAATCATTTGCTCCTCACGAGAAAGGACGTTGGCTGGTGACATTTCCGAAATGGTGTCACGACTCCCTAGTGTCACTGAAGAAAGAAATAATCGTGTGGGCGGCAGAGACATCCGGGCATTTGCAGATGGAAAGTGAATGTCGTCTGCAAGGATCGGACCCGCTCGATATTTCATCGATTGTCGCCGGCGACGAAGACAATCGCGTCTTTGTTGGCGATTGGAAAAGTCGATCGATCCTAGAATTCAGTGACTCTGGGGAATTGATCGGTCAATGTCCCTTAATGGACGGAGGAAAGAGATTCTTCCCGTTCGACATGTGTCGCCTTTCTGAAGACATTTTAGTTGTCTGTTGTCCTTGGGGGTCGGGGATGGGGGGAAGAATTTTCTTTTTGCAGCAAAAAAAATGTTCGCCATTTTTAAAAGTTAAAAAAGCAATTGACACAAAAGAAAAGAAATTTTCTTCTTTGTGTCAAATTGACAAAAAAATTTTCGCTTGTGAAATGAATTTTAAAAAAATAGTTTGTTTTGATGAAATGGGAAAAGAAATGAAAACAATCCACCTCGTGGGGTCGCTGGGGGAGAGTGATTATGCCCCCCGCCTTCGTGCCGATCCCACGAATGGGAATTTGTGGGGGTCAAGACGAACAGAGTCGGAAATCTTTGTCTGGAATCAAAAAGGAGAAATTCTTCAAAAGTTTGAAATGGATGAAGAAATTTTCGATTTCTGTTCAAATAAATTTGGCCATTTTTATTTTTCGACGAAACAAGAAATTTTTTCTGTTTTGCCGAAAAAATTTTTGTTTAAATTCCCGAAAAAATCTGAAAACTGGTCGATAATTTTTGTTTCCAAGCGAAAATTGTTTGTTTATTTTCAAAACGATGGAAAAGATTTATTAAAAATTTTCAAAATTATTTAAAAAAAAAAAATTTTCTTTACAAATAAAATTTATTATTTTTAAATTCATTCTTTGAAATTTTTCTTCAATTCAATTATTTCATTTTTTGCCACCTTTGTCTCCGACCATCAATTGTTGACAGAAGATGTGAAAAGGAAATTGGTTTCATTGAGAAACGGCAACAAAAACAGCAAATCAATCGATAATTATTGATCGATTTTTTTTTAATTTATCCAAATAAAATTAATTTGTGTTGCACTTAAAAGATGATTTTTTCGTCGGATAACAATATGAGTTCAGACAAATAATTTTAGATTTCATTTTTTCTCTTCTTTTTTCTTTCTTTTCTTTTCTTTCTTTTTCTTTATTATTTTTTTCTTTTCTTTTTTGTTTTTTTTCCTTTTATTTTTTATTTTTTCTATTTATTTTTCTAATTTTTTTGTCTTTTTTCACTTTTCTTCTCTTTTTTTTTTCTCCCTTTTCTTTTTCTTTGTCTTTTTTATTTTCTTTTTTTGGCCTTTTTTTTCTTCTCTTTTTTATTATCTTCTTTTTTGTATTTTTCTTATTTTATTTTTGCTTTTATTCTCCTTTTTCTTTTCTTTTTCTCTTTTTCTTTCCCTCCGTTTTCTCTTTCTTTGTCTCTCTTTTTTTTTGTCTCATTTTTCTCTCTTTTTATCTTATTTTCCTTTTTTCTATTTCTTTTCCCTTTTCTTTTTTCTTCCTTTTTTGTTTTTCTTTTTCTCCCTTTTTTCTTATATTCCTTTTCATCTTTCTTTCTTTTTCTTCCTTTTCTTTTTCATTTCCGACTTTCTTTTTTTTTTTTAAATTTACTCTTCTTTGTTTCTCTTTCACGCATCAAAAAAAGAAATGTGTTTTTTCTTCTTCTTCGTGGATGCCGGGGAGGTCCGTGAATTATCTGAAATGAGCCTTTCGTTCTTCTTCTGCCCTGAAAGAGATTTTGTCTTTATTTTGTTTAAAGACATTCGAAGACTGACATTTGACAACGAACTGGAGAGAATAAAACCAAAAAGTGGAGGGAGGGGGAAGAGAATTTCTGAAAGACGAGAAAGAATCGGTAATTTCGGAGGCGAAGATTCCAGACGGAAATTCCAAAGAAGTGTTTTTTTTTTTTTTTAGGTCATGGCGAGGTGGGGGTGGAGGTAATGTGTGGAAGAGAGATTCCAACAAGAATTCAATATTTCATTCCCTCATTTGCGAATTTAGAGGCAAACTCAAAGCTTAATGTCAAATGGAATCGGTAAACGGGTTCAAATCCCGGTCACGTTTGCGTTACGTTCATTGGAAAAGGTAATGAAGGGCGCTCAAAGAATCGGATCAGGTCCTGATGAGAAAGACGGTTACCTCGCAAGACTTCCTCCTGTCGCGTCGTCTAAATCACCATTCGGGCCGTTACCAGTAGCGATAGAAACACCATTCGTTTCACCCCAGAATACTGGGATGACACATTGTCACACGCGTATGGGCACGAGCTTTTCGGGAGCGATACGAGCCCTCAACTCACCGACGTGGTCCCATAGGGGGCGAATCCGAGGACAATGGTAGAACGTATGCGAAACCGTTTCCTCTAAGCCAAGTGAACACAGTAAACAGTCTAATTATTTTAAAACCTCATATGAAAATAAGGTAAATTGAGAGATAGTTATTCACGAGCCAGTCGCCAGGTATATAAAAATCAGGGTTGCTGAGGTAATCCGATGCTGGAGCCCAAGACCAGAAGTTGAAACACCTCCTTGGGCTCACGTAGAGGATCCTTTCGCGGCTCCTCCACTAGATCCTGGGGTTTACGACGGCGCTCAACCCGCGAGAAGCAAGGAAAAGGAAGGCGTCCTTCGCAATCCCCGCCATGAAAGACAACCTCGAGACGAGTTTGTGGTCTCGCCAAATGTGGCATTCGCAGCCCCACATGACACGGACGTTGTGCACAGGCTTCTCTGTTGAACTTATGAATGCGTCCCCCCCCCCATTAGACGGAGGATACAATCGCTCGAGCAGTTTCTTATGGTCCTTGCACAGAGATTTTTTTTTATTTCTTTTTGAATTTGTAGGTCTGATGAATGGGATCGTGATTACGATTCCAATGTAATAAATTATAACCAAGTTTGATAACATGATTGATTCTTATTGATGAGTGGTTGAATGGTCCAAAACGGTTACAGAATGGCTTCAAACTAGGGTCGGATCCTTTTTGACGGCGCCACCTGGCCCAGTGTGACGTCGCTCCGTCCTGGTCGCTCCTCCTGGGTCCAAGCGTGCCGCTCCAACCCTTTGGTCAGATGATCACCAGCCTCGCCTTTCCCGACTCGCTTCCAATACCTGGTCACTAAAGCAACTATACCGATCTCCGGTCTGTCTACCCACGCTGTGTTTAGATCTTAGACAGACGGGACCAGCAGGGATTGGGGCCGATACAAGTTGAGTCCGACGGGGTGGCAAAACACAAATAAAAAAAAAAACTCACGAGACAAAAAAATTGCTGATGAAAAAAAAGGGTAACAACCTTTTATATCTTAATGTCCGTTACATAAAACAAAATTGTTCTCATTTCCCGACCCGCTCTGTGGACTATGGCACCAAGCTTCTATCACACAACCTAAAAATTTCGAATTACCTACTTTTTAGAATTATGTATGTCGGAGTGTGGTTCAGTTCGACACTGGGGCTAATTTCTATCGATCATTCGCAGTTGATTCTTCTCTTCGACTTGAGTTGTATTTCTTCTTCTTCGTCGACTAAGATAGAAGTTCTCTTGTCTTCGACTTTGGAAGATTTCTTGTCTTCGACTTGGCTCGTCTCTGCGGTTTCGAGAATTCTTCTTCGTCCGAAGATCGAACTTCTCTTGTCTTCGACTTGGCTTCTTCTTCTCTTGCGGCTTTGAGGTCTTCTTCTTCTTCGTCTGCTTGGGCTGGAAGTTTCTTTCTTGACTGAGGGTTCTTTTCTTGCCGCAAAGGGGATGAACTCTCTTGTCTTCATCTCAACTGCCGCTGCCGTCCAAACTCAACTTCAGCCGTAACTCAACTTCAGGTTTTCAGGCAATCTTCTTCTTCGTCTGCTTGGGCTGGAAGTTCTTCTGTCTTCGACTTGGGCTGGAAGGATTTCTTGTCTGAGGATTCTTTTGCCCGCAAAAGGGGCGAGTGAATCGGGCCTGATGCCCGCGTTCAGGCTCTTCCCTGCCCGCGGTCCGGTCCAGCTGCAACTCCACTCCAACTGATTTCTGTCGACTGGGGTCCTGCTTTTATTGACGCCGCAACAAACTGGGGTGGGTCTGTCGGCGTCAGGGGTTTTCTCGATAATTTCAAAAGTCGTATTAATTTTGTCTTTCCATTATCGTTATTGTTTTCATCCCTACTTCCTCACAGTGCTCTTGGTGGGGAGGCGCATATCCATCTCTCCCGGTCTCTCTCATGTCAGGTGACCGCTCTCGACCAATCGTTCCTGATCGAACCTTTCTTTCTCTTCTTTTCCGCAGATCACGTGACCGTTTCGACCAATGGTTATTGATCGAGGTTTTCTTTCCTTTCTTCTTCCGCGGTCACGTGATTGTATTCGACCAATTGTTATTGACCGAACATTCCCTTTTGTTGGCGGGCGTGGTTACATCGTTCTTGTTTTAAAAAAAAACAAAATCTAATTTTGCCTTTTTTTTTGCACGTACGAAAAATGACAATCTTGGCTTTTCTCTCACCTGGACTTTGTCAAACAGCCCGCTGCTAATTAGTCTTGACTTTAGAAAGGATCTTTTATTGGCGCCCTCTGTGGTCCAAAACAATTGCTCTTTTTTTTACCTCTTTTTTTTTCCTGATAGTCAGAAAATCTTAATTATCTACATTGAAAATATCTCTACTTTCTTAACGTGGGTTTCCAATTCTTAACAGGTCAATTCCTGTATATCGTTTTCACCGGTCACTCCCCTCAACCCAAAAACACTTTTTCTCTGATTAAAAAAAATTTCGTTTCTATTGTTCTAAAAAAAAATTTCCCTTTATCCATTTTGATAAGGTGTCTTTCCACGAAAAAAGTCGGTCAGGTGCTTTGACCGATATCTTTCAACATCGATTCTTTGAAGCCTGGTTCTTTTTTCCTTCTTTTTCTTTTTTATTTCTAAATTCTATTCTTCCAATTGTTTAAAAAAATCGGTCCCATGACCAGGCCAAGATATATTTCTTTTACTTATGTTTTTTGGGTCATTCATCATCCCTTTTTTCTTTCTTTTTTTTTTTCTTTTTCTTTTTTTTTTCCTTTTTTTTAGGATCGTCTAAGTACAATCTTAGTGAATTATTTTCAACTCAATTATTTTCCGTTTTAAAAAAAAATCAACAACCTGTTTAATAAACTGAATAAAAAAAAATTAAATCATATTTCTATGAATATTTCTAATAAATGCAAGGTGCCACACATATAAAAGGGAGCAAAAATACTATGGACGGTTGCCAAGGAATCTTAATATGCCTGTAACAGAAAAAATCTCCTCAGAATTAGGAATAGAATGATTTTCCTTGACATTTTGAGGAAAAGATTTTTGAAAAATTGTTTCTATTATATTGGGAAAATTTAAAAAATTTGAAATTTTCTTTGGTAAAAGGTTTTTTTGTGAATGGAGGAATTCATAATTTGAAAAAAAATAATAAAAATAATACAATAATAATAATAAACTGGAGGATGGCGGAAAGTTCAAGAAATTTTTTAAAAATAATTTTAAAATATATTTGAAAATGTTTTTAATTGGATGCGAGTTTTCACGCTATTATGTCATTTGGTTATACGTCACGAAGCAAAATTCATCAGAATAATTGAAGTGAAAACATTAAAAAAAAAAACAAATAGAAAAAATTCAAAAATCAAAACATGAAAAAATAGAAAAAGTTTATGGTGTTTTAAGAACTATAAAAGAGTTAAGCTCAATCGCATGAGCATGGATTGGAAGAAAAAATTTATCTTTAAAATTCAACTTTGAAAAAGCCATTTTCAGAATAATGAAGAAAAAACAGAAAAGTGAATTTTTATTATTTATTAGGTAAATGATGTTTGTGAACAAGCGCATAAATTAATTTGTATTGTTTTGAGGTTTACTAATATAAAAAAAATTCGGTTCCCAAAAAAAGTTTTAAAAAATAAATATCTGCAGATTTTGAGCCTTAAAGTTTTTAGAATGTAAAACAAGGAGAAAAGTTATTTTGACTACTCACTAAAAAATGAGTCGTTATTTCCGTGAAATTTTTAACTTTTACGAATCAATGTACGTAAGAATTATAATAAAATGTTAAATACTGTACAAATTGATTAGATTTCTGATATGGTTAAATTTTCTTTGATGGTGAGATCGAAGAAATAAAGATACCGTGTTTTGATTTGATTTGAAATTTATATCCAATTTGATGTTTTTGATTTGGTTTTTTATATATATATAAATTATATATATATATATATAAAATATAAATATATATATATAAATCAAAAACAAAATGACCTGTTTGAAAAATTATTTTGTCTATCATTTTGTTCAAAATTTGATTTTTTTTTAAAATTAATCATAATTTTTAGTTTTGATGATTTTTTTTCTTTAATTAAAAAAAAAAAAAGATATTTGATAAAATAAATTATATATTTAACAATTGAAACTTCCGATTCATTTTAAAATTTTTCTTTTTCCCATTTTAAAAAACATTTGAATTTCCCATCCCCAGTTCCAATATACAACGACTTGAAATTTCTCAAAATTGGGGTTTTTTCTGTTACTAATCATAATTTAATTTAAATGACAGTAATAAAATTATGTGAAAAATTAAAACGTGTCGTTCAATTGTGATTCCTTGATCAGATAATTATTTATAAATATTACATGTAAATAAATGTTGTAATTTATGTTCGAAATTAATTTAATTTATGATTAAAATTGTCATGCATTAT